CCCTAAGTCATCCTTTGTATTGTTTAAGCTGCTGTGCCCTCTCCCCCAAACTCTGTTGAGCTTTCTTTTCTGTTGCCTAATTGATTTTCATGTTGCTTTTATTTTTAGAAAATTGTAGCGGCAAGTATATATAAACATATATACGGTGAAGTTGTTAAAGCAAAAGCACTTCTAGAGACTGTATTCTCATGTTTGGCTTCCCACCTTTGGTTTTCACTGAGTTTCCCAGGACGTGCTAAGGATTGGCCGTGGCCATCTAAATTGTTTCCCACCCCATAGACCATGGTCTCCAGCCTGTGCCCAAGCTGGGGCCACCTGGGGCAGTCATACTTGGCTCTGTGACTTGCCAACGTAGTCTTCAAGAATGAGCTATCTGGGCCGGAGATGAGAAACCAAGCTTGCATTTGTATTCTTTGCAAAAACACTTTGGGTGGCCTTTGCATTGTCCTATGTGCATGCTCACTAGCCTTCTCCACCCCCACCCCCACCCTGTTGATGATTTGTCATTCCGGGCTTGCTTGACCCCCACACGTTTCCCTAACCCAGGGGATGGCTTTGCTGACATCTAGTCTCCCCATGACCACCAGTGTCCCAGAGGCAGTGTTCCTTGCTCGAAACGACATGTATCTAAGTGCACATGAGACTCCGTAGGACTCCCTCCTGGACACTCAGGAACCACCTCTCCCTTGTCCAGTACCCCTTTCCCTTGTCCACTGGCCAATAGCTTCACTCAGCTGCTTACTCCGAACCGGCATCCCAGCTACTCAGTGCCCATCAGTATATAAATCCTTTTCCAGGACCCAGACCCAGCAGCCTCAATTGTCTAAGGGAGGCTTCAGCCAAAACAGGGGTCCACAGAGTGCCTTGGGTTAGCCGGCCTGACTTCTGGGATGCTGGTGTGCTGCCTGTCTGAGATGGAAGACCACATCTGCTCAGCTCTTCCAGGCAGAGACAGAAATTAGTGCAGAGAGTACCGACTGATTCCATTGAGTTCTTTTAGGAGACTCGGGGCTGTTTAGCCTTCTACAGTCGCAGAGGCTGACACAGGGCCTGTCTGGGGATCCTGCTTAGAAGGCCTCTGGTCGAGGCTGGGGCACATCAGATGAGCCAGGGTTCTGAGGAGCTTTCCGGACCCTAACATGTAGTTCAGCCCTCTCTGGCTAAGGGGGCTTAGTGTGTTTTCAGGCCTCTTGCACCCCATGCCTCGTAAGGAAAATGGGGATGGAATCTAATCTCTGCATCGAGTGCCGATCCCTCATCAGTGCTCAGCTGTAGCAGCCTGGGTGGGCATTCCTAGTAGCCGTCCTCCCTGTGGCCACTCTAGACCCAAAGGGAAGTGGCCGTGTGGGCAGTCAGCTGAATGTTGATGCAGCTCACCCTAGCCTGGAAAGGAAGTTCTCAGCTCTGGCAGCCCACGGGAATCACCTGGGCACTTTAGAAATTCCCCAGATGCAGGCACACCATGAGGGCCTTTGGGCTGGGACCTAGGCAAACCTCCCACTCCCGCGCATCCCCCACAGGCAGTTTGGGAATACAGCCTAGGGTGAAAGCCAGCCTGCTTTTGTAGTCAGGCTGACGTTTATAGTTTGGGCAAAGCCATCCTCAGCCTCCTTCCTGTTGGTAAGGTATTTTGGCAACTGGCACCATCCCCCGTGCTGCCGGCCACACCCTCCCTGCAGCCCCCTGCCCAGTGGCAGTGGTGGGAGGGGCGGCCCAGGCTACACCGGGACGCATGCTTCTCCACTCAGTGTGCTGTTGGATCTCCTTCCCTTTGCATGGCGTGCTCTCCCGTTCCTCCACAATTGCTATCTCCTTTTTTTTTCTTTTTAAACAAGAGAATATCCATGTTTGAAGTTCATAGTTCAAGATTTGTCAAAGATACCAGTTGAAAAGAAATGTGCACTCTTGAAGTCAGTTTGGCTGCTGCCAGCTCCCCCCCACCCCCAGGGAAGGGGGTCATGAATCATCTGTCAGGTGGGGAGCAGGAAGAGAGAGGCGAGCAGAAGGGACCAGAGAGTCTTCCCTGACCAGTGGGCCTCCTCCTGCAGGGCTCACACCCGGTGTGGGCATTCAGTAGCATAGCTGTAGAGCTCTCTGTCCTGAGGGTACCAGGCAGAGGCCTGCGTGCACGCTCATGTACACACGCACACACACTCCAGCTGTGTGTGCCAGCCTGAAGCCTCCGTGCACAGCCCTTAGGGAGAGTGACAGGAGAGACAGAACTTGGGAAGACCAGTTTATGATTGTTAGTCTTAAATTAAAAAACACAATCTATCCCTTTAAGGAGATGCTGTTTCTTTGGAAATGAGATAACAAAAGAGAAAAATGTAAATAGGGACCCTCAGGCTCTGATATACCCACCGCAAGTCTCCCATTCTGAGCCTCCATGATGAAGCATGGAGATTCTAACTATGTCAGAACCTGCTCCTTGGGTATACTGTCACATTGCTGACTTTCAATTGGGCTCAAACCGCTTTTCTCCTATGAATTTCCTAGAACTTCTGTCTGGTCTCAGGAGGCAGCCCTGGGTGAGAGAGAGGTTCAGAGCTGAGCCTGCCTATCCCTACCTCCCTAGGGGAGGCAGCCGTCTGGGAAGTGTGCACATCCACACACGCGCAAGCACTCTCAGCCATGCAGACAAGCTGGACAGAAAGTCCCAAGCCCAGGAGCCCCATTTTTCTCTCGGTTTCTGGGTGGATATCCTCTGTCATGGAGGTGATACCACCAAAGGGCAGAGAGAGGCCGTCACATCAATTGTGGTGCAATTTACTCTTCCTGCTTAATTTAAAAATGCCACCTAGCATTGGGTAGGATTTGCTCCCAACTTCTTGGCACTGTACTGAGCCCTTACCAAACTTGCAGGAAGTGCCAGACTCTGTGCTGGGCACTGAGTGGAGTGAGGCACAGTCCCTGTCATCCCTGGGACAGTAAGCAGCAGTTGTCACAGAATCTGCATCCCGGGGCCACCCGCTGAGCCAGACCCAGGAGGGGGCAGAACTGGGCAAATGGGTCCTGTGTCATTTCTTCCAGCAGCGCTGAGCGGTCACTTGTCTGACAGCAATCTGTGCTGTGGGTCAGCAGCAGAGGCTTCAGTAGAGGCTTCAGTAGGGCTCTTCTGTCCTGTACTGAGCCCGTCTGGTCAACTTGTGGGTGGGCCAGCCAGAAAGGCAATTGTCAGAAACACAAGGGGACTTCAAAATGTTTATGGGAAGATGGACAAAGTACAAGTTTATTTTGATGAAAAAAAAAAAAAACCTTTTTAAATGCAAAAAAAGTTTTTTCAATATTGAGTTTTTTCAGGCGGGGAGGCAGCCGTCTGGGAAGTGTGCACATCCACACACGCGCAAGCACTCTCAGCCATGCAGACAAGCTGGACAGAAAGTCCCAAGCCCAGGAGCCCCATTTTTCTCTCGGTTTCTGGGTGGATATCCTCTGTCATGGAGGTGATACCACCAAAGGGCAGAGAGAGGCCGTCACATCAATTGTGGTGCAATTTACTCTTGCTGCTTAATTTAAAAATGCCACCTAGCATTGGGTAGGATTTGCTCCCAACTTCTTGGCACTGTACTGAGCCCTTACCAAACTTGCAGGAAGTGCCAGACTCTGTGCTGGGCACTGAGTGGAGTGAGGCACAGTCCCTGTCATCCCTGGGACAGTAAGCAGCAGTTGTCACAGAATCTGCATCCCGGGGCCACCCGCTGAGCCAGACCCAGGAGGGGGCAGAACTGGGCAAATGGGTCCTGTGTCATTTCTTCCAGCAGCGCTGAGCGGTCACTTGTCTGACAGCAATCTGTGCTGTGGGTCAGCAGCAGAGGCTTCAGTAGAGGCTTCAGTAGGGCTCTTCTGTCCTGTACTGAGCCCGTCTGGTCAACTTGTGGGTGGGCCAGCCAGAAAGGCAATTGTCAGAAACACAAGGGGACTTCAAAATGTTTATGGGAAGATGGACAAAGTACAAGTTTATTTTGATGAAAAAAAAAAAAAAACCTTTTTAAATGCAAACATAGTTTTTTCATAATGAGTTTTTTCATGACCTTTTGGAAGACCCTGTGTACACCTCCTAGGTATGCAGTCCCCTGGAAACTGTGGCCCTCAGAGGTTTGTGGACCACAGGTGGGTGCTGCTGTTTGCCATGCCGCTAATGTCACTGTGTTCCCCGGGCTGAGAGACCCTTGGCAGAGGGTCAGTTAGCTCTTGACCACACGGAGAGAGCTTGTCTCCACGAGATGCCCAGGCATACTCGTGCGTGTCCTTGGGGATCTGAGGTCAGGCTGCGTTATCCTTTGTCAGATGTCTCTTGGCCTGGGAACATCACGTCCTTGGATGTGGATTTGAAGAGGCAGTGTGTGCCCCGTAAATACGGTCAGGGATGCCCACCTCCAGGTTGGTTCCAAGCAGAGCCCCTGGCACTTTCTCAAGGAGTGAGCAGGCGTATTGTCCAAAGACAGTATCCACACATTTCTGAAAGGGGGGAATGTTCTCCTGGATCACCACATCCTTCTCGGTTCATTAACACGCTTTCAATCTTTGATTTCTTAAAGCCAACTGAAAGTGAAACTGTCCCTGTCCCAACTGCTACACCTGGGGTAAGATCAGTCACAAGTCCCCAGGGGCCTTTTCCTTGAGTTTATCTGACCATGTCGAGTCTCCCATGGTTCTGTATTCTCCATGGCCGCCCTTGCAGAACAGTCTGCAGTGGTGTGCGTTCATCATCAGTGTCCAGTCCTCCTGGCCAGCCCAGCGTTCTCCTCTAACACAGCAGAACACGTGGACATGCATGTGATGTGTGGACATGGTCTTCCACGCCCTGTGTTGTTGGCATGTAACTTTCCTTTCATATCATGCTTTTTTAAGGTGAAAAGACCCTAGAAACACATCTCCAATTCTTACCTCTGTCACCTTTGCATCTGTTGCTGTTTTTCTGAAAGTGTTGCATGTTCTACTTTCCATTGGGTTTGACCTCTCCATGATAACCCTTCAGAACTCTGAAGAGAGCAATAGAATCTCCATCACCTTTTTCCGTCTTTTCCGAGTGATGCGATTGGTGAAGCTTCTCAGCAGGGGGGAAGGCATCCGGACGTTGCTATGGACCTTTATTAAATCCTTTCAGGTAAGAGCCAAGGGCGTCTCTGTGTGTCTTGGACGATCCCATGTAAGTCTTTGATTGCCCCCTGTCTGGGGGGACCTGGAGTCCCTCTCCATGCCCTAGGTCAGCAGAGATGAGGGACTGCTGGGGAGGCCCAGCCCGGCAGGATACGGGTAAATCAAGTAGGATTAGTCGCCTGAAGGCGGCAGGAGAGGAAGCAGTAAGGACCATCCAGTTCAGAGAGAGGGCAGCATTTCCAAGGCTGAAGGAGATGGGGAGCCTCTGAGCCCCTCAGTTCTTTCCAGAATGCCAGTGAGGAATGGGAGTGGGGGTCCTGGCAGACTCCTGGGAAGCCCGACAGCCTCTCCCACAGCTGTGACAGTCCTGTCGGCCCAGACCTGGCTAGCCGAGATACAGATCGGAGCCCCCTCCACCAAGGCCAGCACTCCGTCACCTGCCTCGGGGTTAGCCGGGCCTGGGAGGACCACAGGGTGCAGGACGTTCAGGCACAGGCCAGCTGCATTTGTCAGGCTGGGGCAGTCTGGCTCTGATCTACGTCAGCAGAACCAGCGTCTCTGATACCACGTATTCTAGCCTTCTGGACTGAACCCACTGGGATGGGTGACAGTGGGAGAATGCGATTCTTGATGAAAGGTGCCCTTCTAGGGAACTTTAGATATATATAAACCTTAGAAAACAAGTAACTCACCTTCATTTATTTATTCCTTATTTTTCATTAAAAAGTAATTGAGGGAAGCTATTTTAAAGGTACATAAAGAAAAAGTTGAAGTTTTTCACATGGCCCGCTGAAGACCGAAGGTAGATAACTATGAGCTTGTGAGCCACTGGATTCAGACAAGCTTTCTTAGACAGGAGGGCGGGTGGATGCCCAGGCCTGCTGCTTGGCATGACGCCCAACCACCAGAGGTGTGCTGTGCACACGGACCTGTTCATCCTGTGTGATGAGCACTTGAGGGATGTTGGAGTAAAGGACCGAGGGTCTGTCTGATCAGATTGAGAGTCATGTCGATGTTCTGAAGACAGCCCAGGCCTGGTGACCACCAAACTGGCACTTTTCTGGCCCAGCCCCCCAACTTTCGGTTCTTTTAGAAAGTGTGCATGTTAAGAAAGGTTAGTTTGCACTCTATATCAACAGCCGGAAAGTGAGTCTTCCCCTCTGACCCAGAAATGCCACCCCAGGACTTCCCGTGAGGAAGTCCTTCAGCAGAGACACAATGACTTTGTCTAGAGGTTCCCTTGTAATGTGATCTATGACAGCTCTCCGACCATGCTGAGTATATCTAGAAGAGGAAGTGGAACAGTCTTGGTGTCCAGGGTTTTGAGATGGCTTGATCAGTTGTGATTTCACAGAGGATCCCCATAATGAATGTACCCATTATTATGAGAGGGGTGAACCTGTGTTAGAAATGTCGAGGACTGTGGTACCAGGTTAATGACCCTGGGAAGCATGTCTTGCCTGTACTGCAGTAGCACGAGGTATGCACATGGGTAGTATATTTGCTTGGGAGCAGTTGTGCCGGGCTGGGATTCAGAGTCCTGCTTCACTGTCACTGGGTATCCTTTCACTGTGACACATGGGGGAAAAGATGTGCCCTGCGTGTGTCTTCTTGGCGTGTGCTGAGCAGCCCTGGGACAGGCGGCCCGCGCTGAGCTGAGTGCCTCCTCTCTGCAGGCGCTGCCCTATGTCGCCCTGCTCATAGCCATGCTGTTCTTCATCTACGCTGTCATCGGCATGCAGGTAAGCCCCAGCCGTTCTGCTCTTGGTGGCCCTTTGCTGAGTGGCCCCTGGTCCGCAGCAAGAGGGATGTTGGTCAGGTGAAGCAGAAAGATGGGGTTGTGAATTTCAGCCAAATATCTTAGTTGCTGAAGAGCCTGGGCGATGAGGAAGATGGGGTGTCTCAGGAGAGAGCCTGCAGGAGAGAAAGCCCCTGCCAGGGGACACCAGGCCAAAGAAGACCAGGAGAGGTTCTCCAGTGCCAAGAAAAACTGCTTTCGTGGCACTCCCTGCGCCTCCCCAATCTGATTGAGGAAACCCATTGATTTTAGCAGCAGTGAGTAGCAGGGGGCCCAGCAGGAGAGGAAACGGCACACTAACAGAAGCCAGAGGGCCAGCGCCCTCACACAGCAGTTAAGCACTGCACAGAGGAAGCCCGATACCATGTGGCCAACCAGGGCTCAAGTCCCAGCCCTGTCGACGTCAGGCTGGGCGTGATCAATGCCCAGAATCCTGATGAGATGAAATATTAAAGGAAAAAGGGTTGTGGTATGATGGGTCTCATCGGGAGGTGCGATTCTCTCTCTCTCTCTGTCTCTTTGTCTCTTAGCACATGCACACTCACAGGTACTTTGTAGTATAGTAAAAACACAAAATACATGCCCTTTAGTGCAGCAATTAAATGTTGTGTGTTGGAAGCTGTGGCCCCACCTGTGGTTTAAATCCTAGTCCTGGTGGCTTAAAAAACATGTCAGGTATATATATGTAGATGCTCAAAGTCCTGAAAGACTGGAGAAATGGAAAAGGATTGCAGCAGGACCATGCCCTATGGAGGGGTGCTTGGTCTCACTTTCTCACTCTTTGAAAACAGAAAAATAAAATAAATAGGGACCAGCAGTTGACATAATGGCTGTGCCGCTGGACTCCCATGTTGTCAGCCTAGGTTCGAGTCCTGGACCTGGTAGCTTAAACTCACACTGAGCATGTGTGCATGCGTGCCCAAGATCCCGAGGGGAGAGTGGAGGAGAAGGGATTGTGGTGTGGCCATCCCTCCTAGGGGGTGATTTCTCGCTTTCTGTCTGTCTGTCTTCTCTGTCTTTCTGATGAGTGCACATGACCTGTAGAAAAAAACTCTAAAAAAAATTAAATAAGAAATTTTAAAAATGAAAGAAACCTTAGTTGTCAGTGTAGACTTCATGTTTTCTGCACTGATGTTACTCTTCTGGTGTTTAGTAATAAAGCTTGTTTACACTGTGAAGAATGCTGCTTTAGCATAACTAAGTGGAATTCCCACCTGAAACACAGTATTTCCCGGTGCTGCACTTAGTTCTGAGCTGAGACTTGGAGGTTCCCCAGTAGTTCACCTTTAAAAAGAGGCATGGAAGTTGCTCTTCTGTGACTCTGGTCAGAGCTGAGGAGCTGCTGCTACATTTCCTCCTCAGGCTGGGCAGGTGGCCAGGCCTCATTAATGGCTGAGCCTCACATCAAGCAGGCAGGCGGGGTGGGCCAGTGTGTGTGCTTGGTGAGGACCGCCACCTGTCGAGGTGCCGTCCATCAGAGAAGGGAGGGATGAGCATGAGGAAGCGGTGATGTGACTCTGGGGGCAGAGAAGTGGTTGTGCTTACTGTCCTGTCCTGAAGGCTAGTAGAGACTTGAAGGTCTCTAAGAACCTTCTCAAGAGTTCAGAGGAGAAAGCCAACCTTGGGACCAGCAGTTAGCATAATGGCTATGTCGCTGGACTCCCATGTAGCCTACCGCGGTTCGTGTCACGGACCCGGTGGCTTAAAACTCATGCCGAGCACATGTGCGTGTGTGCCCAAGATCCCGAGAGGAGAATGGAGGAGAAGGGATTGTGGAGTGGCCATCCCCCTGGGGGGTGATTTCTCGCTTTCTGTCTCTGTGTCTGTCTCTCTCTGTCTGGCAAGCGCATGAGCCCTATGGCAAAAACCTCTCCAAAAAAAAAAAAAAAAAGAAAGCCAACCTACTTAAGCCTCTGGGATTCAGCAGCATGCACTGCCATGTGCCCTGAAGGGTCTTTTATCGCATGTGCCCTCGTGTACAAAAGAGGGGTCTAGAGAACTGCAAGCTACGCATCACACACTACCCCAGATTCACCCAGGCATCAGGCCTTCTGAAATGCCGGTCTGCTTTCTGAGTCCTACACGTGAAACTCTTCACTACCTTCCACTCGACCTTTGGATGAAGCCCTCTCCCCTTCCTGTGGCTCACAGGCCCCATCCCCAGGTCCCCACCCTTGTCTCCAGCCTGATCGTTTATCTGTCTAGTGGCCACCCATGTTCTTTGTATTTCCTGGTGCACCTCTGCTGGGTCACCTCTGCTTCTTTGCAGGTGGTATTCCCTCTGCCTGCACCTCTGCTGGGTCACCTCTGCTCCTTTGCAGGTGGTATTCCCTCTGCCCGGAACACTCTTCACCCTCCTGGTCACCTGACCGACTTGTACTTATCCTTTAGTCGTGAGCTTAAACGTACTTCCCTGGTAGTTGAGCCTGACCAGAGCTTCCCTGTGCTGGACCATCCCAGCACTCTCATGCAGCGACATCTTCCCTGGTTACTTTCACATCTGTCCCAGGGTAGGGACTCCTTGAAGGTGGCAACACACCTATCTGGAGCATCCAGCCTCGAACCTCGTACCCAGAACCTGGTTGTGCTCGGCGGAGCCTCACTGAATGAATGAAGCATCTAGTACCATGAGAAAGCCCAAACTGGTGTTGCCCAGATTGGAATTAGTTCTAAATTCATGTAAGGGTTTTTCTGTATAACAAAATGTACTTATTTTTCCCTCCTAATAACTTCTCCACCTAGATGTTTGGGAAAGTTGCCATGAGAGACAACAACCAGATCAATAGGAACAACAACTTCCAGACGTTTCCCCAGGCGGTGCTGCTGCTGTTCAGGTGACTAAATCCAGCAGGGGTTCCCCGGGCAGGGGTGAGAGACTCGCTCTGGGTCCCAGAGGATGTGCCATATTAAAACAGCATCCTTTCCCAGTTACCGTGATGGCTTTTATTTTTGTTTTGCATTCAGATTGTGACTGGCTTAAGGTTTATCTGAGAATTAGTAAGGTCACTTAGGCTATCCAGGACAATTGTAGCAAAAGTATTTATGCCTGGATCACATGTACACACAGCCAAGAGAATGGAAATTTAGCAGAGACACAGAGGACTTCTTAGTAGCCGATGAAGAACATCCTACGGTCTATAATTTCAAATGTATGGGATTGTTTTTAACCCCAGTTAGTTAACCTTGTGAATAAGCTGCCTCATGGTGAGACAACTTTCTAGAAAACAAGAAATTTCTGATGACTCTGGTAACTGAGAAACAAATCATTTGCAAATGAGGTAGTTTCTAACTCTTTGCTTTCGATAAAACTGAAAAAAATCTATTGGAATTGTCAGATATTTAATCATTAAAAATAACAATTAAAAATTATAAGCAAAGTAGAGAAGCTATAAAAAAAACATTCATTTATTTATACAAAAAGAATTGGTGTGCTTGCATCAGATGATTATTGGAAACCAAAGGGGGTTTTAGCAAAACCTGTAGTTACTTAGATAAATTGCATGTGAAAATGGATAGGAATTTCAAATTCTCATTAATTCAGGTTGGCTTTTCACCATGTTCCTTAGATTTGGTTCTAAAAATGTTTTACCCAGAGGTCTAAGCCTTAAATCCCTTCCTTTCCATGATGGCCCTTTTTCTTTTCTTTATAAGTGGATTTTTTTCACCAATTTTATTATATTTTATAATTTCTTATTTACATATAATGCTCATAACATACAATACGGTTTTTCAAAGCATGCATGTAGTGTGTGATAATCAAATCAAGGATATTACCATGTGCATTGTTTTCAACAAAGAACCTTACTTAAATTCTTGTGTCTGTTAAATGAAATGCTTTTTACCCAAACGCTTCAAATCTTTCCGTTTCTGCCACAGAGTACATATATTCTGTATATATTGAGTGGGGATATACAATGTTTTTCATAGTCTGATTTATTTCACTTAGCTTTAAATCGTCCACATTCATCTACATAAAATGACAGAGTCTCGCTGTTCCCTCTGGCCAAGCAATGTTCCATAGCATATCTGCCACATTTTTTCAGTCAGTTGTTGGTTCCATTCCTTAGCAATTGTGATAACACTGTAACCTTTTCTTAACCTAAACAAGGTGTGCGACAGGTGAGGCCTGGCAGGAGATCATGCTGGCCTGCCTCCCTGGGAAGCTCTGTGACCCCGAGTCTGATTACAGCCCTGGGGAGGAGTACACATGTGGGAGCAACTTCGCCATCGTCTACTTTATCAGCTTTTACATGCTCTGTGCATTTCTGGTGAGTGAGAGATGCAGCTCCCCGTCTCCATTTTCAGATGCCCGTGTAGCATTCTGGGCCTGCCATCAACCAATGATGTTGCCTTGTCAGACCACCCCAGCGTGGTTGGTGCTGATGAGTGCTCCAGGTTCTATTTGGCAATTGGGTTTTTTGCTTGTTTGTTTTTTACTGGGCATGCGTAAACACCACCTACACGGCAAGCATGGATATGGTGCTAATGGGTAGGCTTGGGGAGCTGACCAACCACGCAGCTTCTGTAGGCTGCTGGTTTCTTTCTAAAAATTTCAAAGCCACTTATTCATGGAAGTGAGTTAAGATGTGACATTGTAGAGCCAGCTGGTGGTATGCTGGTTAAGGTGACTGAATTTCACATAGCTGGCTGAATGGCTCAAGTCCCGAACCTGGCGGCTTGAGGAGCACACCAAGTACATATGTAAGTGGGCCCAAAATCCCAAAAGCAGAAATGGAGAAGGGATTGTGTTGTAACCATCCTCCATGCGGGGTGCTTTCTCAGTTTCCTTCTCTTTCCATCTCTCTCAGGTGAGTGTGCACACCTGCTAGCAAAAACAAAACAAAACAAAAACAAAAACAAAACAGAAAGTCACCAAAAGGTGTGAAATTATAAAATTTCAGTGTTCTTCAGAAGACCAACTTCTGCCCTCCTCAGAAGACCAGCTTCTGTCCCCCCCAGAACTTTATCAAAGCCACTTTAGAAACCTAGAACCCTGCCCTTTTCTCAAACTTTCTCCAGATGGAAAGTGTTTGCATTTCTTGGAGACAAAGGTGCAAATATTTCATGTTCTTAGGAAGCAGATGCTAGGGTCTGACCCCACCCATCCCGCTAGGGCTGACATTCCCACCTTCTGATTGACTGTTTCAGATCATCAATCTGTTTGTGGCTGTCATCATGGACAACTTTGACTATCTGACGCGGGACTGGTCTATTCTGGGACCTCACCATTTAGATGAATTCAAAAGAATATGGTCTGAATACGACCCCGAGGCAAAGTAGGTTGAGAAAGGTTCCATCTGGCTTTTATGGGCTGTGTGTGGCATGTCAGCCGTGATGTGTGTGGAAGGCGGGATGGGATAAGAACTCAAGTCTGCCACCATTGCCCCCAGACCTCACTGTGTCCTTTGTTTCCAGGGGAAGGATAAAACATCTCGATGTGGTCACCCTGCTACGACGCATCCAGCCTCCCCTGGGGTTTGGAAAATTATGTCCACACAGAGTAGCGTGTAAGGTGAGTGCCTGTCTGTGTGTCTGACAGCCTCTCGCGGAGACTCACTGCTTCATTCAGCAAACACTTCCTGGGTGATACTGGGCCAGGCCTCTGTCAGGTTCCGGGTGCGGAGATGAACAATGTGTGTTCTGTGCCTTTGCAGAGCTATCAGATCCGTAACTCAGGACAGCCCAGCGACAAGGGGAAGAGCACTGTGTCAGTTACTAGTGGCATGGAAGGGATATTTGTGTCAGGTCCAGAGGAGACGTGGGAGTTGCCTGAGGCAGGGAGGGCCCTGACAGAGGAGTGTGGGTATCATAATGGTGGACGGTGAGTCCTGTGATCTGCCTCCTGCTCTCCTGGAAACCCAGGAGAGCAGCGGGTGTGGTTCAGTCTGAGCCTGTCGGCCCGATAACCAGGGCAGCCAGCCATGTAAGTCTTGTCAGGGGTGGGGATGACCAACGTTCTGGATCAAGAAGGCAGGCCGAGTTCTCTGGGCCCAGTGATGGGAGGATGTCCAGGCATGTTGGGGTGGGCCATCTGTTTTACTAATCACCAGTTCAAATGCTGTCTTACCCAGAAACACCTCACAGACACTCTTAGAAGTGATGTGAAACCAGATGTCTGGGCATCTCATGGCCCAGGCAAGTTGATACACAGTGAACCACTGTGTAGGTGCTTCCCAAGTGACTTTTGAATCAAATTACAGGTCAATTAGAAAGGAAACGAGCGATAAACAGAAAATAAACCTCAGCAGGGAGTGTGTGCCCAAGCTGTCCAGGCACTGCCACGCTGTGCTGGGGCATATGGGATAGCTCCGGTCTATATCCCAGGTCTGCCTGAGTATGCGGGGCCTGCCTCCGGTCCTGGCCAGCTGCAGGGCTCGGGGAGGGTCACGGAGTGATTGTCTTCCTCGGGGTGCTTGTCTCTCTCAGGAAGTAAGTTACTGCACAGAGGGTTGGGGCTCTCACCCGTCACTCACGTTCTGCTAAGAAATGTGGCTTTCTGTCCACAGAGATTGGTTGCCATGAACATGCCTCTCAACAGTGATGGGACAGTCATGTTTAACGCAACCCTGTTTGCTCTGGTCCGAACAGCCCTTAAGATCAAGACCGAGGGTGAGTTGTTCCCTGGCAGCAGGACAGCACGTTTCCTCCTCTGGGCCTTTTCTTGATGAATGAGGAGCCCTGGGGAGAGGGTGGGGAGTATCCTGAGAATGTCTGTGCTGGCCAGTGGGCTGTCCCTGATGGCCCTTGATTTTCCTTTCCTTCCTTTATGACTCGCCTTGTCCCAGAATGTTGTGAATTGGTCCCCTCAACTGCTGCGATGCAGCCAGAGAAGTAGGCAGGGAATCGGACTGAGTTGGAGCCATCACAGATGCATGCATGCTAGCTGTCCCTGCCAGCTGTGTGCCCCATCTGAGGGCTTCACTGTGGTTTCCTGCTCCATAGAAAGGAACTAATTAACCCTGGGCTAGCAGGTGGAGTGGAGGTTAAGGCAGCTGGATCCCACATAGCCAGCTCTGCAATTCAATTCGAGTCCTGAACCCAGCTTGAAAATCACACTGGGTGTGTGCATGTGTGCCTGCCCCAAGTCCCGAGAGGGGATTGTGGCACAGTCATCCCTCCTGGAGGGTGATTTCTCCTTTTCCCTCTCTCTCTGTCTCTGTCTGTCTCTCTCCTGTAAGCTCATGTGCCCTATAGCAAAACTAAGGAAGGAAGGGAGGGAGGGAGGGAGTAAGGAAGGAATTAACCCTTGTAGGGGAAGGCCCTGAGGTGAAATGAAGTGATGTCTGCAGGACCCTTCTGCTGTGCTGGCCCTTAGGTAGCACTTGGTTGGGGAAGACCAGTAGAATCAGTGTCCCCAGCTGAGAGACCAAACCAGAGTGGTCTTCATGGCCCTACTGAGCCCTGGTCAGGACCCAGTGAGGCAGGTGCTGCAGAGTGGCCACCAGGGTAGGCTCAGCGGCAACCTCAGCGGTGGGGTGGTAAGCGGATCGCAGCAGGTTAGGGGAGCCAGGGCATGAGGCAGCAGAGACCACAAGGGGAGCTGACGCTGACTCTGAGACCGTCGGGGGAGGACGGGGAAGAGGGGGCTGCAGGGGGCGATGTCAAGCCAGTGGACAGGTATTATCCCAACACCAGAGTGCAGAGGGAATCTTCCAGCAAAGCCAGCTCTTGTAGCTGGCCACAGGCTTCTTGTGGTGCTGGTCTGTACCCGGCCCTGGGCCAGCATTACTCTGGCTTCCAGAAATCAGGATGCTCTTCCGTGCTGATGGTGGGTTGAGAAGACAAACCTCAGCCCACACAACCGAAGACCAAGTTTGGGTGATATAAATGAGAACATGCGTGGAAGCTGAGAGAAGTCTTACTTGGGTGACATTGAGGCTGGATCTTCAAGGATGGAGGCAGGACTTGGAACAGCCAGGAAGGAGAAAGCTTTCCGGCCTGGGTGCGGTGGGAAAGGAGTCCATCTTGGGTACCCTGCCTTGGCTGTGGAAGGGTCGGAAATGACCAGACTGTGATAAGCCTTGAATTCCAGGGTAAAACGCCGCTGCTCCCACAATGGAGGGACTCCCTATTGAGAGGCTCTGATTGCTATTGCTGAATATAGGAAGTGTGTAGGACCCCAAATGGGGAGAGCCCGACTGAGGGGGAGCCCCACTTGGGGGCAGTGTGTGAACTCAGGTCAGGCTGGCAGGGAGTGATCATGGTAAGAACCGAGAGGGAGAGCTGGGTGACAGCAACAAGTCTTGTTTTTCCTCATTACTTCTTGAATTCAGGGAACCTGGAACAAGCTAATGAAGAACTCCGAGCTGTGATCAAGAAAATCTGGAAGAAAACCAGCATGAAACTGGGTATCATAGTGGTGGACGGTGAGTCCTGTGATCTGCCTCCTGCTCTCCTGGAAACCCAGGAGAGCAGCGGGTGTGGTTCAGTCTGAGCCTGTCGGCCCGATAACCAGGGCAGCCAGCCATGTAAGTCTTGTCAGGGGTGGGGATGACCAACGTTCTGGATCAAGAAGGCAGGCCGAGTTCTCTGGGCCCAGTGATGGGAGGATGTCCAGGCATGTTGGGGTGGGCCATCTGTTTTACTAATCACCAGTTCAAATGCTGTCTTACCCAGAAACACCTCACAGACACTCTTAGAAGTGATGTGAAACCAGATGTCTGGGCATCTCATGGCCCAGGCAAGTTGATACACAGTGAACCACTGTGTAGGTGCTTCCCAAGTGACTTTTGAATCAAATTACAGGTCAATTAGAAAGGAAACGAGCGATAAACAGAAAATAAACCTCAGCAGGGAGTGTGTGCCCAAGCTGTCCAGGCACTGCCACGCTGTGCTGGGGCATATGGGATAGCTCCGGTCTATATCCCAGGTCTGCCTGAGTATGCGGGGCCTGCCTCCGGTCCTGGCCAGCTGCAGGGCTCGGGGAGGGTCACGGAGTGATTGTCTTCCTCGGGGTGCTTGTCTCTCTCAGGAAGTAAGTTACTGCACAGAGGGTTGGGGCTCTCACCCGTCACTCACGTTCTGCTAAGAAATGTGGCTTTCTGTCCACAGAGATTGGTTGCCATGAACATGCCTCTCAACAGTGATGGGACAGTCATGTTTAACGCAACCCTGTTTGCTCTGGTCCGAACAGCCCTTAAGATCAAGACCGAGGGTGAGTTGTTCCCTGGCAGCAGGACAGCACGTTTCCTCCTCTGGGCCTTTTCTTGATGAATGAGGAGCCCTGGGGAGAGGGTGGGGAGTATCCTGAGAATGTCTGTGCTGGCCAGTGGGCTGTCCCTGATGGCCCTTGATTTTCCTTTCCTTCCTTTATGACTCGCCTTGTCCCAGAATGTTGTGAATTGGTCCCCTCAACTGCTGCGATGCAGCCAGAGAAGTAGGCAGGGAATCGGACTGAGTTGGAGCCATCACAGATGCATGCATGCTAGCTGTCCCTGCCAGCTGTGTGCCCCATCTGAGGGCTTCACTGTGGTTTCCTGCTCCATAGAAAGGAACTAATTAACCCTGGGCTAGCAGGTGGAGTGGAGGTTAAGGCAGCTGGATCCCACATAGCCAGCTCTGCAATTCAATTCGAGTCCTGAACCCAGCTTGAAAATCACACTGGGTGTGTGCATGTGTGCCTGCCCCAAGTCCCGAGAGGGGATTGTGGCACAGTCATCCCTCCTGGAGGGTGATTTCTCCTTTTCCCTCTCTCTCTGTCTCTGTCTGTCTCTCTCCTGTAAGCTCATGTGCCCTATAGCAAAACTAAGGAAGGAAGGGAGGGAGGGAGGGAGTAAGGAAGGAATTAACCCTTGTAGGGGAAGGCCCTGAGGTGAAATGAAGTGATGTCTGCAGGACCCTTCTGCTGTGCTGGCCCTTAGGTAGCACTTGGTTGGGGAAGACCAGTAGAATCAGTGTCCCCAGCTGAGAGACCAAACCAGAGTGGTCTTCATGGCCCTACTGAGCCCTGGTCAGGACCCAGTGAGGCAGGTGCTGCAGAGTGGCCACCAGGGTAGGCTCAGCGGCAACCTCAGCGGTGGGGTGGTAAGCGGATCGCAGCAGGTTAGGGGAGCCAGGGCATGAGGCAGCAGAGACCACAAGGGGAGCTGACTCTGAGACACTCGGTGGAGGACAGGGAAGAGGGGGCTGCAGGGGGCGATGTCAAGCCAGTGGACAGGTATTATCCCAACACCAGAGTGCAGAGGGAATCTTCCAGCAAAGCCAGCTCTTGTAGCTGGCCACAGGCTTCTTGTGGTGCTGGTCTGTACCCGGCCCTGGGCCAGCATTACTCTGGCTTCCAGAAATCAGGATGCTCTTCCGTGCTGATGGTGGGTTGAGAAGACAAACCTCAGCCCACACAACCGAAGACCAAGTTTGGGTGATATAAATGAGAACATGCGTGGAAGCTGAGAGAAGTCTTACTTGGGTGACATTGAGGCTGGATCTTCAAGGATGGAGGCAGGACTTGGAACAGCCAGGAAGGAGAAAGCTTTCCGGCCTGGGTGCGGTGGGAAAGGAGTCCATCTTGGGTACCCTGCCTTGGCTGTGGAAGGGTCGGAAATGACCAGACTGTGATAAGCCTTGAATTCCAGGGTAAAACGCCGCTGCTCCCACAATGGAGGGACTCCCTATTGAGAGGCTCTGATTGCTATTGCTGAATATAGGAAGTGTGTAGGACCCCAAATGGGGAGAGCCCGACTGAGGGGGAGCCCCACTTGGGGGCAGTGTGTGAACTCAGGTCAGGCTGGCAGGGAGTGATCATGGTAAGAACCGAGAGGGAGAGCTGGGTGACAGCAACAAGTCTTGTTTTTCCTCATTACTTCTTGAATTCAGGGAACCTGGAACAAGCTAATGAAGAACTCCGAGCTGTGATCAAGAAAATCTGGAAGAAAACCAGCATGAAACTCCTTGACCAAGTTGTCCCTCCAGCCGGTGGTCAGTGTCACCTATTTGCTAAGTAGTTCGGGGCCAACACACTGGTTTTTAACGACAGTGTCTCCAGAGGGTGTTTGCAGGGTGCTTTGCGTATTGCAGCATTAAGGCCAGCAGCTTATTACAGCTTTTTGGCCATGGGTTACAATAATTTAGGGGAATGTGAAGACCATTCCAGGTAAAGGAAGAGGCTTCAGTGAATAAGAAACCAATCCCCACATGGCTGGAGCAGGGGTTTTTTTGTTGTTGTTGATAAAGGAATTAAGGAATTAATGTTAGAGACTAAGATTGCTATCTCAAAATGAAAAGCATATATATATATATATATATATATATATATATATATATATATATATATATATATATATATATATATATATATATATATATATATATATATATATATATATATATATATATATATATATATATATATATATATATATATATATATATATATATATATATATATATATATATATATATATATATATATATATATATATATATATCCAAAATGAAATAGTCTAAATTAGTTTTCAGTTATCCTGAACATATTGTTGAAAATGTCTCAAAAAAAAAAAAAGGTAGCTTAGGAAGTGGTATTTTTGAAATGCGAAATCACAGAGAAAGTAAATATATATATATATATATATATATATATATATATATATATATATATCCAAAATGAAATAGTCTAAATTAGTTTTCAGTTATCCTGAACATATTGTTGAAAATGTCTCAAAAAAAAAAAAAGGTAGCTTAGGAAGTGGTATTTTTGAAATGTTCTTATCAAGACTGAATTTATTACCATAATGACCAAAAAGACCCATCTAGTTAGAATTTAGGGTAGAAACAAAACTAACAGGCATGCTAATTTACTTTTGTTATGTATCACAAAATAACTGACTAAACTTTTTAAGTTTATATATATATATATATAAACAGCTATCTATATTATATATATATATTTACATACACATACACACACACTGTTTTTCCATTTTTGTTATAATACGTGTGAACTTAGAAGTCGAGGTGGTTGTTTTGACTGTTTTATTTTCAAGTTTTAAAGGTGCAGGATCTGTTCCCCCAGGGCAGCTGCCCCTCCTCCCCGACCCCCCAGCATGTTCGCCATCCCTAGCCCTGGGCGCGTGCTAAGCATTGGGTGTGTTTCATAACCAGCAGAACTTTTTATAGTGTCCCCGCCCCTGCAACTTTCGGGACTGGTCTGGCTCAGGTCTGGAAGTTGACTCTGGAACCTGGGCCACGGATGGTGCCTGAGGCCTCTCCCTCGGAGAAGGTGACAACCTCTGACTCTTGGGGGGGCACAGAACAGCATGTTGGCCAGCTCTGCTCCGCAGCATGAAGTGAGAAGCAGTGTGAGCTTCTGTTGTTGACGAGGCGCCACCCACAGCTGGCAGGGCCACCGGCTCAAAGCTGGGGATGATGGCCTGAAAGACATGAGAAAAGGAAAGAAAGACAAAACAGACACACTCCCACCTAGAGAGCCCCGGCTCCCCTGAGGAGAACCGATACTGCACAGTTAAAACGACTCTGGTTTTCGTTCTTTTCCTTTCAGCTGCACATCCGAGTGCTCGCATGGCTTAGGTGAACTGCTTTTTGAAGTTGTCGTAACAATGTGCTTGAGCTTTTTCTGCAGCCTCCATTCCTTTCAACTCTCGATCTTTCAGAATATTCTGAAGCAATTCTGTTTTAGGGTGGTGGCATGGAATCAGAGTTATCTCTTGCCGACTGTATTCCCCTACGATGTTTCTTGAAATACAGATGCATGCTTCAGAATAGCAGGCCGCGCCTGTCTATGGAAACCTTCCTCATGCGTGGGCACTCCCCCAACCCCAGCCCCACACTCACATCTCTCTTGGAATGCCTCCTTAGTCACAGCCGGTCTCCCTCCCACATTCATACCCATCCACCGAGGCACACCTGGAGTGTCACTCACATTACTGTGACACTTCATTTCTTTCATTTTACCAGGGGGGAGAAAGTCCAGAATTTGATAAACCATCCAAGTCCCCTTCCTCTGAAAAGCTGATCAGCTTTGGGCTCTACTAGAGTTCTAGAACAGACGAAATATTCTTGTCCTGTCTGGGTCCAATAACTGTACCTGACTTTCTCTGTGGTTCTTAGAATGGACTGGTCGTGGAAGGCAGGTGCTGACCTGTTCCACAATGGCAGCCACGGGCACTGTGACACCTGAGAAGAGGGAAACAGGGCCTTAGAACAGGAGTGTTCCAGAAGTTCCACATCATTATTTATGTGCCTAGCAGAGTACTTGACTCTTATGAAAACCGTTGCCACCAAAGTCTGTCCCAAGGTTCAGGTGGTGTCCAGGCTGTGGGGTCTTACTGCAGTATTTGGCATCATTTCCTTTTTCCTTTTTCATCTTCTTGTAGACCAGTGGGTCCCAACCATTCCTGCATCATGGCTCACTTAGAAAATGATAATACTCTGGGACCAGCAGATGGTGTAATGGTTGCATTGCTGGACTCCCACGTAGTCCACTGCAGTTCGAGACCCAGACCTGGTAGCTTAAACTCACACCAGATACGTGGGTGTGCATGCCCAAAATCCTGAGAGGTGAATGGAAGAGAAAGGATTGTGGTGTGACCATCCCCCCTGGGAGTGGTTTCTCACTGTCTCTCTCTGACTCTCCGGCAAATGCACACACCCTGTTGCAAAAATCTCTCTTTAAAAAATTTATAACATTCATCTACCCTGCCGTGCCCACAGGTGGGTGGGTCACAGGCGGAGGACCTCAGTGTCCCCCATGCTGCAACCTGGGCAGACAGCAATAGACCAAGCAGGGCCTGCCTGCCTCCAGGTACCTGGACTGATAAGCGTGCCAGGGAGGCCCCTCCTGACCCTGGTGACAGAGCAGAGTAGGATGCTTGTCTTAGGATATGTGGCCAGTATTCCAGGCTAGCTTGGTGGGGAGGTGGTACTTGGAAATGAACTATGGGCGTGTGTCTCCTTCTCTCCCCTGAGGGGCAAAGTCTCTGACCATGGGGCAACTTGACCACTCCCCATCATCAGTGCTGACCTGTCTCACCTCAAATCTCTGCTGGGGCTCTCAGTTCCACACATCAGTCTTCCCCATCATTTCATGGCTCCTCCTCCGTCTCTTCAGACACACTCTCTCCACCCCCTAGACTCGTCCTGCCTTTCGGCCTTTGTTCCTTGGCCAATGTCTTGTCCCTTTGCCTTCAAGAGCACATCGAGCTGACCCAGCTCCTCCTTGCCTAAGTCCAGACGGCCTCCTGACACCCGTTCCTTCTCATCCCTCCTTTTCTGCCCCATGTAGCTTTGGCTTTTCTTATTGCTAGGAGCTCTTTCTTGGGCTTGGTCTCCCACTTAGCTCAGCATCTCCCAGAGAAGACACAGTGGCCTTGAATCCTGCCCAGGAACGCTGGGTGGGCCTGCCTCTACTCGCAAAGCTGGGGTAGAGGGATCAGGGCTAGGCCTGTGCCAGAAGCGTTCAGGGTGGAATGAGGAGGGCTTTCTGCAGACACGGCCCATGCTTTGTCTAGGGGTTCACAGAAAAGACTCAGAACCCCAAACTGCAGAGGACAGTGTGGCGTGGCAGGAGGAGAATCTGTAGGGGCCCCCTGGTGTGTTAGCCAGGCATCGGGCAGCCCACTTCCTCTGTGTGGCCTGCAAAAGGACTAGACTTGTGCTGTGGAAGGGGCAGCTGTGGCCAGAGCTGGCCCTCTCTAGGCAGATGGTGGTGGAGGTGGAAGAGACCCCGGTTCAGGAGGCACCCGGCCAGGCTCATATCCCAGCGTGACTGGGCCTGGCCAGGGCATTGACCCCCCTCCAGCTGTTGGTCAGTGAGCAGAGCCACTGTGTCCGAGAGCCCCACATTGCTTTCTGGCCCAGGAGGTTTGGCAGCTGTGGGTGCCCAGTGGTGGGAGCCATTAAGGACTGGTATTCTCAACACACCCCAGGCCAGAGGGAGGAGGGGCTGGAGAGCCAGGCAAGACCTGAGTGGTCTCTGCTCACCTCGGCCTTCTCGCCTGGGGTCATCAGACTGCTGAGACAACCTGGGGCTATGAGGGACCACATTTGTGCGAGCTTTGCAGAGACTCGGGCTTGCATGGGTGGCCCTGCACCCCTCCAGGACTCTCTTGGCTGGTGTTTAGAGGGAAAGTAACACTTCCCTAGGCCAGGCCACCTGAGGCAGCCTCCTCAGTGATAACACCAAGTAGCTTGGGACAAGGACAGTTGGAGAGAGGTGGCCCAAAGCAGCCCAGCAGTCTCCAGATAGCGACGACACACAGTGGGCAGCATCTCCCATGTGGGCACTAGATGGAGCCTGCCCAGAGTGCATGAGTGAAGGCCCAGTGTCCCCCACCCCACCCTGCCCCAACCCATCACACTTTGGGATCCATCCCAGGGGCTGTCTCCATCAGCAGGTCTTAAAGGAGCAGTGATTCCCCAAGCCGGGGCTGAGTTCTTTATGCACCCCTGCCACTTCACGCAGTCCTCACAGTTCTTCCAGGAGCCTTTCTCTGTCTTGCATATGAGAACACATGCTCAGAGGCCTTGAGGCCTTTGCCCAGCTCAGCATGTAGCCTGCCAAAGGGTAGCCGAAAGCCTGGGGGCCAGCAGCAGTTCCTTCTCCAGCCTCTGCAAGCCCCTGGCCCCCAGCGTGGCCCCACGTGGGGAGGCTGCTAAGGTGCCCTTAATCCCTCCACCCAGCAGGCCTCAGCACACTGTGGATCTGTTGGCCCACACTCTTGGGAGACCTGCGGGACACGTTTACACATCCCAGCCGGTTTACCACGAGACAGCCGAGCCTCTATTCTGCCTCATGCATCACCTTTAAAGGCATCAGCAGAGTTCTGATTCCCCAGCGAGACGTGTTGGAGGTTGTTTCCAAAGCAGCAGACATAAGCCCAGCTCAACTTCGAGTTTAGTTGGCGCTGTTGCTGCAATGCAGAAAATGAGCAGTTCTGAATTACAAACCAAAAAACGGTGCACGGAACTCAAGGCCCAGAGAACGGGGGGAGCACGAGAAAAACCTGGATTTGCAGTCACTTTTCTGAACTTTCCTCTCCTTCTGAGCTTGAATGTCACCTTCCAAGTCTCCATGTGAGACAGGGGATTTGGATGGTTAATTGCCCTGGAGGTTGACGGTAATTACACATGCAAATCCCTCTGCACAGGGGTGAAAACAGGGCCCGTGAAGCCTTTTTTTGTTTTGTAATTTTTATTTTAAGTGAATAACCAAGATGGCATTTCATGGTGTTACTAATATGCTGCTCTATTAAACTCATGACGAATATTATTATTTTCTGCAACTCCTGAGTTATCAGTGCATTCAACTGACTCTAACTTTGAGCCTTACCTGCTTTGCCAAACCTTGCTTTTTGCTAGATCGAGTGTCATAGGCTGAGAGCCTGGTGCCATCTGCACCGTCCCACCTCACCCCTGCCCCAGCCACAAGTGAGTGTTTAGGCTCTTGATCCAAATGTGCTGATTCGGGAGAGCTCTGTCTGGTCTCTCCGTTTAGATGATGAGGTAACCGTGGGGAAGTTCTATGCCACTTTCCTGATACAGGACTACTTTAGGAAATTCAAGAAACGGAAAGAACAAGGACTGGTGGGAAAGCACCCCGCGAAGAACACCACCATTGCCCTGCAGGTGAATTGCCATCTTGTTTTTGTTTTCTCTTTTCACTAACGATTTTACGAGCTTATCTGAAACATAGAGAGCTGACTATTCATGGTTGAACAGTACCACAAGGATTTTGTTTAAACTGAGCTACCGCACACTTTCCCAAATGTGGACTAGCTATTTCTGAGCCACAAGGTAAGTGCTTCTCCACCCCGTCCCTGCCTCCTCCATCGAGCCCTGCACCTGCCGCAGGCCCACGTGGCAGGGCCCAAGGGCGGCTATGGCCGGAGGGGGGGGCGGGGCGGCCCCCCAC